GTGTGGGTCCTGAGAATCCACAGGGTGCGGTGGAGCCACCGGGCGTCCTTCTCTGTGTGGGCAGGTCTGGTCCTGGTCATGCCTCTTTTTTTCCTCAGCAACAACAGGCAGCACCCCTGTGACAGGATCTGCTTCCACTTCCACCACAAAGGTCTTCTGGGGGGCGTGGCCAACCTCACCGTGGTGACCTTCTTCTATTCTATCTTCCTCCTCTTCATCTGCTTCTACGCCAGGATAACCACCAAGCTGAGGAACATGTCCTTAGGCAACCAGGACCCCAAGGCCCAGCGGAGGAAGAGCAGGGTGATCCTGAAGACTTTTGTGGTGCCGGTGATCTTCACGCTCTGCTTCCTGCCGTACCACCTGGTGCGAGTGCCATACGTGCTGGCCCAGATGGATGTGATCCAGGCCCTGGGCAGTAAGCAGATTCTCCACATCCTCAATGAGCTCACTCTGATGCTGTCTGCCCTCAACAGCTGTCTGGACCCCATCATCTACTACTTCCTGTCTTGCACCTATAGGAGGACCATCCTGTGTGCCCTGCAGGGGCAGTTCAAGACCATGTACGCTGTTAACAGCAGACGCATCAGTATTAACCGATCTATTACAGAGATATAGAGCTACAGTATCTAAGGCAGGCAATTTTAACATTTTGCACAAATTAATTTGGATAATGGACATTAAACAAAGTTGGATTAACTGAAAAAGATAATGTATAATACGTGTTAATACTGTTGATACTATTGACTCTATAAAATAAAGTATAGGATATTATTGAATGTCCTTTACGAAAGATATATATAAATATGAACTCTTGTTATCAATTTCTTACTGGACTTTGTATAATTGTTGGTCCAGTAAGAATGTTTTTTATTTATTTATTAGAATTTGTGCATTCTTTTTTGTTTGAGTATGTTACTCACACTTATGGAGGGTGGCCTTAGGTTCTCATGGGTAAAAGGGCAATATACAACATTACCCTTTAAATGTCTTACACACAAGGAATTCCCCAAGATGAGTATGCTGTTTCATTTCATTTCAATGACCTACATACTCACCTGAAGGCCACAAGATATGTGTAGTCGCAAAACGTCTATGTTGGCAGAAAATGTATTCATTAAATTAAGTACACTGACAAAGGCTGCTATGACCATGTTGTGACAGTCTTGTGCACTTTTAAAAATAATGTTTTTTCTGCCATGGGATCAATACATTTATATTTTCACACAATAGAGAACCATTACGTTTATTTGTGGAGGTATTTGCCTTTTACAATTGTATTAGTTAAGTTCATCAAAGTTACTTTCATTTGAAGAGTTTATTTCCAAAATGCTATATCCACCAATTTTCACATTTGTGTCACTCTGGATAAGATCATCTGCTAAATGACTAAAATGACATTTACATTTTAGTCATTTAGCAGATGCTCTTATCCAGAGCGACACAATTAGTGCATTAATCTTAAGATAGCTTGGTGAGACAACAACACATCACAATCGTATCAAGTACATTTTCCCTCAACAAAGTATTTATCAGCAAAGTCAGTGCTAGTGGGAAAAGAGATCTCATATTACTGTTTTTAATCATTTTAATGATGATGTCACAAATGTATTATTTGTATATTTCTTTATTAAGAATGTAGTTATTTGTTACATTTACTTAGTAAAACCTAGCAGTACTACTTATTTATCTGACAGTTAGGTGGACATATAGCATTTTGCTATTATGATTATTTGTCTTTCTGAAAATGGAACCATCAAGTGACAGAATTAAAACAAATACATATCTGTCATTGAACAACCCCATGCAATGATTGGTGTGTTTTTCACTATCTAATCTCTTTCATAATTTCTTTAAACAATAAAAGCTTATTTACCAACAATCCTGAAAATGGATATATAGTGTTTTGGAATTCAATTAAATGTGATGTTCATAATGGATTATCTCCTCAGAAAACACTTTGAGATTCTCTAATTATTATGGAATCATTGTTTACTTGCTTTCAAAATATTTATATTAAAGTACATTGATATTAAACGATAACAGAGTACTGATCAATTTAAGTAAGTACAGTTGAAGTCTGAAGTTTACATACACCTTAGCCAAATACATTTAAACTCAGTTTTCCACAATTCCTGACATTTAATCCTAGTAAATATTACCTGTTATAGGTCAGTTAGGATCACCACTTTATTTTAAGAATGTGAAATGTTAGAATAATAGTAGAGAGAATTATTTCTTTCAGCTTTTATTTCTTTCATCACATTCCCAGTGGGTCAGAAGTTTGCATACACTCAATTAGTATTTGGTAGCATTGCCTTTAAATTGTTTAAATTGTTGGGTCAAACATTTTGGGTAGCCTTCCACAAGCTTCCCACAATAAGTTGGGTGAATTTTGGCCCATTCCTCCTGACAGAGCTGGTGTAACTGATTCAGGTTTATAGGCCTCCTTGCTCGCACACGCTTTTTCAGTTCTGCCCACACATTTTCTGTAGGATTGAGGTGAGGTCTTTGTGATGGCCACTCCAATACTTTGACTTTGTTGTTCTTAAGCAATTTTGCCACAACTTTGGAAGTATGCTTGGGGTCATTGTCCATTTGGAAGACCCATTTGCGACCAAGCTTTAACTTCCTGACTGATGTCTTGAGATGTTGCTTCAATATATCCACATAATTTTCCTTCCTCATGATGCCATCTATTTTGTGAAGTGCACCAGTCCCTCCTGCAGCAAAGCACCCCCACAGCATGATGCTGCCACCCCCGTGCTTCACGGTTGGGATGGTGTTCTTCGGCTTGCAAGTGACCCCCTTTTTCCTCCAGACATAATGATGGTCATTATGGCCAAACAGTTCTATTTTTGTTTCATCAGACCAGAGGACATTTCTCCAAAAAGTAAGATCTTTGTCCCCATGTGCAGTTGCAAACCATGGTCTGGCTTTTTTATGGCGGTTTTGGAGCAGTGGCTTCTTCCTTGCTGAGTGGCCTTTCAGGTTATGTCGATATAGGACTCGTTTTACTGTGGATATAGATACTTTTGTACCTGTTTCCTCCAGCATCTTCACAAGGTCCTTTGCTGTTGTTCTGGGATTGATTTGCACTTTTCGCACCAAAGTACGTTCATCTCTAGGAGACAGAAAGCGTCTCCTTCCTGAGCGGTATGACGGCTGCGTGGTCCCATGGTGTTTATACTTGCGTACTATTGTTTGTACAGATGAACGTGGTACCTTCAGGCGTTTGGAAATTGCTCCCAAGGATGAACCAGACTTGTGGAGGTCTACAAATTTTTTCTGAGGTCTTGGCTGATTTCTTTTGATTTTTCCATGATGTCAAGCAAAGAGGCACTGAGTTTGAAGGCAGGCCTCGAAATACATCCATAGGTATACCTCCAATTGACTCAAATGATGTCAATTAGCCTATCAGAAGCTTCTAAAGCCATGACATCATTTTCCTGAATTTTCCAAGCTGTTTAAAGGCACAGTCAACTTAGTATATGTAAACTTCTGACCCACTGGAATTGTGATACATTACATTTACATTTTATTCATTTAGCGGACGTTCTTATCCAGAGCGACTTACAGGAGCAATTAGGGTTAAGTGCCTTGCTCAAGGGCACATTGACAGATTTTTCACCTAGTCGGCTAGGGGATTAGAACCAGCGCCCTTTCGGTTACTGGCACAACGCTCTTAACCACTAAGCTATCTGCCACCCCGATACAGTGAATTATAAGTGAAATAATCTGTAAACAATTGTTGGAAAAATTACTTGTGTCATGCACAAAGTAGATGTCCTAACCGACTTGCCAAAACTATAGTTTGTTAACAAGAAATGTGTGGAGTGGTTGAAAAACAAGTTTTAATGACTCCAACCTAAGTGTATGTAAACTTCCGACTTCAACTGTAGGTGAGTAGTCTGTATAGTAGAGGCAATACATTATCTACTTTTTAAATAGTCTAATCCAATCACTGTTAGGATTCACTCAGTTTTTCTCTGATTTATCAGGTGAATTATGGGTTGAATTAGTTTGTTTTATCACCTACTGCTCAAAAACAGGCTCGGCTTCGACTGACAGCATAGATTGATCACAGAGAATTATCAGTTGAAATGGAGGAGCAGAGGAAAGAGTGATATACCCGCTGTTCAAAGCCAGACGTTCACATTGATGATATCTCTAGCAGATGATCAGCAGCTTTTCATTACAGAGAACAAAGCCATTTCAAGTCCTTATCTTGGATAAATACTGATTGGTGCATATTTAGGATATTTGCATTTCGTATGAGTTGATCTTGCAGTAAAATACCTGTTGACAACCTTATTTTCTGTCATTTGTATATCATATAACCTGTAAATTATAATTATAATTTTTCTTACATTTCAAACCTATTCTTATCTTTTATTTAATCCTACAGAGCACTGATCTCAGTTGTTTCCTGTGTTTTTGTTAACAGTAACACCAGTTCTGGACTTTCAGCTCCCCCTACTGGTCATTCATATTGTCTTTGAATCAGCATGTGGCATAATATTTTACCACCATTTTTTTCATTACTGTTTGGGCCAATTGTCTGGAGTATCCATCTGTCCACACAAGAGACATAGGTCCACGCTCATTTTCTGTTTTCATGCTTATCTGAATCGTGACTTCGGGATCAGATGGACTCTGCACTCACACAGCTCTCTCCGTCTCCCTATAATGGAAAAAGACGAGGGGTTAACCCAACATTAACAAAGAGCACTATTCTAGTATTTTATTCCCTTCTATTTCTTAGAAATGTATTTATTGGAGACAGCAGCGAGGCGTTAAGGTAAAATGGCCAAGTCCACCTCTGATTGGCTGTGCTTATCTCATGTCGCTCTCCTCGGGGGGCCTGGAAAGTCCATTGGGACTCAGGGAGTCATCACATTCCTTACATCCCAAACATACAGTATTGAGCTCTCCTCAGGCTCAGGATTTACCCCATGTCATTCCAAAGCATGTGTATATCCACATTAGTATTGAAACAGTTTATGCAAAATTAAATGTTTCTTTATTTTTTCCAGAAAACATGGATGAGTCATCATTGGTTAGAATGTCACAATGAATATGCAATTGGCATTAGATCATGATATCTAGTCAGGGAATGGATGGATTACCACATATTAGAATTAATCAGGCTGTAGAGTGATTCATATTTTTTTGCGCGTGAAATAAAGATATTCGGAATACAATAACTTTACGTTTCTTAAATGACAAAACAAATATGAAGCATTATTTAAATTGTCAATAAAACACACACTATACAAAAACACAAACTCAGAAACAAAAGTAAAAATGCTATGGATACTCTCTCCAAACATGTCACACGGGCATTGGTAACCTCCAGTGGAGCATTGTTTTTCAGAGCAGTGATATCACCCCAGACAGTGATATCATCCCAGACAGTGATGTCACCCCAGACGTGTGTGTCAGGCCTCTCCTAAGCCTCGGCCTCCTCTCCATCAGCGTCAGCATAGATGTGGCTGTGTGTTGCCATGGGAACCCCTCCGGAGGTCACAGAGGCCTGGTGGCCACTCCCCATGGTAGGGACGCCTTCATACGCCACCGTGGCCGAACTCTTAGGTTTGGCCCTGGAGGGGGAGAGGAACTGTAGGTGAAACACAGCACCTCACAATTAAATTGTATTAATGTCAATGACTTCATAGTGCAGCACAAATCATAACCACTCACTGCATCTCTGTTTCCTTGGTATCCTTGTATTTCTGCTTCTTCATGGAGTGTGTCATGTACAAGACGATAAGAATGATTAGGACAGCTCCAAGAAGTGCTCCAATGACTGCACCAGCAATGGCCCCGTCACCTAGCTCTGTTAAATAGGCGGGTTATTGGTAAGATTAGTTACAGCAGTGTGTCTATAGCAGTGTGCAGATTACATAGCCACATTCAATCAAAACAACATCATATATGTTACCCATACCATGGTTGAGCTCCACAGTGCAAGTGGCAGATCCCACAATGTTAGAGGCACTGCACTGGTACTCTCCAAACTCAAACTGGGATATGTTTCTGATGTACAACGATCCTGTTTTCGGATCTGAAAAGAACAAGAGAGAATAAAAGTCTAGCAAAAAGCATTCTAATGAATCAGAGCACAACAGAGTGATGGGGGACGGAGGAACAGTATGGCAACCCACCGGTGTTCCCCAGCACAGGTTTCTTGGTCTTGTCCTGGTCCAGTTGTGTCCAGGTATAGGAGGGGGTGGGGCTTCCCTGCTCACTGTGGCAGGTGAGGGTAACCAGGTGACCAGACTCCACATCACCATGGACAGCACAGAATGGCACAGAGGGCCTCTCTTACAGACCATGTGATAGAGAGAGAGCATGTGTTAACTTTACGTAATATGCTGCAATCTGGACCCAGTTGATCAAACTACTGGTAATCAGAGAAAATGTCCAAAGTTAGACATGAAAGTCAACACTTGCCCTGGACCAGTAGCTAGCTATTTTGTCTAGTAGTAGGTACGTTTGACAGTTGGAATGCAGAACACTGAATGCCAGTGCTTGATACCAGTCATTACAGTGATATATTCAATCAAACATGAGCAGTCTAGCAAAGATGATGTCATCCCCCTGAGTGTCTCTTATGCGTTGCTATGGTGACAATGGTGACGTTGTACATCATGGTACTTGCAGTGTTTACGGTGACTAAAATGACACATTTATACAACAGACATGACCAATCATACGCAAGTATATTATTTGTAAGATGAGCAGCCATTGTGGATTGGTACAATCAAATGTATAAACAGGATAAAAAATAAAAGACCAACAGCATGTCCATGTTAGGACTGAATACAGTGTATTGCCTTCACCATAATGCTTCAATACAACCTCTCTGCTCTATCGAACTGGGAATCATTAATTCAATCTAAAATAGAGTCATGTGTTTCTCCATTCTATTCCTAAAGAGTACGAGACATGTCGGGAGGCGGTCTTGTACTCCTGTGTTCCTGTTCTAATTTCTGACACTGACAATGAAGATACTAGTCTGCTCCAGTTCCCATGGAAACTACTGTGGATACTGAGGCCAGCAAGGTTGTCCTGGTAACTCTGTGAATGAATGGAATCACAGACGGCATGTAATTCAATGATCACAAAACTCAGATTAGGGAAAAAACTTCAAAGATCTGGTTGTGTGTTGTGTTGACACTAGCATAGGAAGAAGGATATACTGTACGTTACTATTTATTATTATATGTGACTTCCCTATATTCATTGGTGAAGTAAACCATGACTTATTTCAAAGCATTTGACCAAATGTAAAAACAGAATTTACCAAGAATGTTGACAATGATGGTGGCCTCAGTCTTCCCATTGACATCAGGGAAGTTGCGGACTTCACATGTGTAAGCCCCTGCATCGGACACTTTCATGTTGCTTATTGTTATTGAGGCATTGTTGGTAGTAGCTGGAGAGCTGGAAGGCTTCAACCTGCCTTCATATGGTTTGGAAATCACGTCCTCTCCTGACTGAGAGTAATACACCTAGAAAGTAACAGCAAGAATGTCTTCGAGCCTACATAAAACCACTGGAAAACCATTTCTTACCAAAAACACAACAATTTATGCACTGATTGACAGATTTCGTGTTGATATTTCAGTGATTGCTCATTCTACAAAAGAAGGTTCCAATTTGCCAGAAAATATGGAGAAAACCCATGTTAGTGAGACTTCTGACGTTCTGCTCTACTGTAACACTGCTTCTGCACACAAACAAATGACGGTTCCTCAATGGTTCTTTGGGAAGGGTGATGGTTCTATGTGGAACCATACTGACCATCATTTGAGCCCTTCAATGGTTCTTTGCAGTTCCAAAAATGGTTCTTTCCTCTTTTAGTGATAATTAAAATGTAGGGGCGGAATTCATTAGAATATTTTGGGACGTGGTTTGTGCACATCTCTTTTTGTGCAACTGTGACTGAGGGTGTCATTCTAGTTGATCTAATCTGCAGTGTTACACTATTACATATTAAATATGACTATGGCCAGTGTCAGTATCCTTTGAAAGACTCATGTATGGCCTTGTGTCAATAGAGAATGGTTGATTAAGACAGTAGTTCTAAATTCTCTCCTCAGGGACCACCCGGCTGTTCCAGAACTAGCACAACTGATTCAACTAGTCAATAAACACAATAATAAAACCTATGACATTTATACAATATAATATGGCTATTAAACCAGAATAAAAAACCCTGTGTGGTTCTACAAATAACTTTTGAGATTGAGAAAGGTTCTTTATAGGACCATTCTCCATAAAGGTTCTATAATGAACCATAAAAAGGGTTCTATATAGCCCCAAAAAGGGTTGTAACCATAGTGGAACCCTTAGGAAATAGTTATTTATATTACCATACAGGTTCCATTTAGAACCTTATGAGCATGGTTCTTTATAGAACCTTCTAAAAAAGGTTCCATATAGCACCAAAAAGGGTTCCGCTATGGTTACAAGCCAAAGAACCCTTATTTGGCACTACATCAAATAATTTGTTTTTAGTGTGTGTTTGGAGGGCAGGGAGCCACTGGTGCTCTGGTGACTGGGCTCTTTGTTGTCTTGCCAGGGTGTGTCACAAAATGGGCACTCAAGAGCAACCACCATATTGAACTAGTAGCCTACCTGCCTCTGCTTTTATTAAAATACAGACGCACCAATCCTTCACTCTTAGAAGAAAAGGGGCTATCTAGAACCTTAAAGGGTTATTTGGCTGTCCCGATAGGATAACCCTTTGAAGAACCCTTTTTGGATCCAGGTAGAACCCTTTGGATTCCATGTAGAACCCTTTGGGGATTCTACCTGGAACCAAAAAGGGTTCTACCTGGAACCAAAAAGGGTTCTCCTATGGGGACAGCCGAAGAACCCTTTTGGAACCCTTAATACTAAGAGGGTTGTGAGACCTCATATAATACAATAGCATGTACAACTGCAATAACTCTCCTGAATTTCCATGTAAACCTGAAAGCAGTTTGATCAGAGATTTTCAAATTCAGACATCTTTGTAAATCTCTGTAACTACAGTAACAAGGCATTTAGTACTTTTGTCGTTGAACAGAGACATATCTTTTGGAGCACTCTGGGTGTTGAGAATGGTCCAGGTGACTTTGAGGACACACAGGGAGTGTGACAATGTGGCAACATGAGACAGAGTGAAGAAAGCCACAGAGTAACGTTGGTCTACATACCTGCTGTGGCACCATGGAATCTTTGGCAACAAAATTCCACTGGATGATGAGGTCACTGGTTTTCTGCTCAGTGGTAACAAACGTGCACTGGAGAAGAGCACTTTCACCATTTGTCACGTTCAAAAACTTCTGGGGAACCGTCACTGTGATGAAATGCCCACAACCTAAAAAAAAAAGGACAGGGTTAATAAATATACTGTACTTGTGTACTTTTATGTTTATTTCATTCGGATTGAATATTATTCTTTAATATCAGACCCCAAACGTTCTAAAACTTGCCCAGAGTCCCATTTGTAAGAGCAAGAGATATGGGTACCAAATCCTTTCACATTACTGAAATATCATTATTATTATTTATTTCATAATACATGAACATGTAACTCACCCATCATGCCGAACAGCAGCACCATTCTCAGTGTAGAGGACATTTTAAAGGAAATGTTGCAGCTTATTTCTGTCTCCTTCAATAAGCCAGTCAAGAGTGGTATTGCTCGCACCACCTCAAAATCCCTCACCTTTCTCAGTTCTTACCTATCAACTAAGTTGTAATGGGCAACGCCTAGGTAGAGCATACTGTATAAGCCTGTGGGGACTCTGTGGTAGTGTACAGGCTGATTTTGTGCCTGTACATATCATGGGGGTGTTCAAGTTGTGTGCACAGCCTTGTTTGCCATATCACCTAGACTGGGCGGGAATAATCTCAGACTGTTATTTTTCAAAATGTTGATTTGCATTTCCAAATTAGCACCATTTGTTCCTACTTCAATCTTTAGACTTACGGGGAAACCATGATGTCTGTGCTAAAGAATATAGGACACACTTAAATGTATGTTTTTGCACTTTACACTATCAGTTGTACTCTACACAGTACAGTACAGTATATCATTTTTTCATTTTTCTCCTTTCAGTCTGTTAACCTTATTGCAGTGGCCCACTAGGTATTGACAGTGAGTGACTGTTCCAGTATTTCATTATTCAGTACTTGGGCTGATGCTCATCTCTCCCTCTTATATGCTCTAAATGTACCTTGTAAGTCATTCTGGGTCAGGGCTTCTGACAAAGTAATTAATGTAATGTAATCTCCACCTGGCCTTTATCTCCTGCCCTGAGGAGGAGTGAGCCAGAGCACTACAATACTCTGCTTATCTCTGGGGAGTTTACTCCCTGCCACTGGCGCTGAGTTATTAATGGCAGTTTCGCCCGTCACTCTGCTCATGCTAAGAGCTCGACACGGCGGTACACTCTTAGAAAAAAAGGTGCTATCTAGAACCTAAAAGGGTTATTTGGATCCATGAAGAACCCTTTCTACAGAGGGTTCAACATGGAACCCCAAAGGGTTCTCCTATGGGGACAGCAGATGAACCCTTTTGGAACCCCTTTTTCTATGAGTGTAGGGGGGACAATGAATCATGTATGATTAATTGTGCATAATTACAATAAAGTGACATAAGAAATTAACAATGTGGAAAATGTTGATCAGCAGTGAAAAAGGGGAAGGAGGATGTAGAGGGAGATGTGGAGGATGGAGGTGGTGTTGAGGCGAGGTGGAGGGAGTGGGAGGGAATCATCTCATTAGGCACAGAGCTCATATACGTCTGCCAAGGTGTCATACCATGACCATCATCAGGATGTATGAAAAGGATAATCAGAAAAAGCACCAGAAATGTCAGAGCAAAGGGTGTCCATGTTACAGTTACCATGTTACCATGTTACAGTTACCATGTTACCATGTTACAGTTACCATGTTACCATGTTACAGTTACCATGCTACCATGTTACCATGTTACAGTTCTGCTGGATTGTATGAAAACGGAATGTGACCATCGTGAATAAACCCTTACACACAGTAGGTACACACACACAGTAGGTACGCTGAACGAAAAGAAAACAAAAAGGTTAATCATTGACATCTCAAGAGCCTTACTGGTGTGGCCCTGCTAGCTCCTCCTCTAGTCTATGCAAACCGAAACTCAGGAGTATGCATACACGGTGTTTTGCACTGAATGTGCCATACAGTATGATTACCTGCAAAGGCATGGAGAGAGTGAGGAATGAAGACAATGTTGTTTTTATGTTCTTGTTGGAGGTAAAATAATTTTACATTTTTTGTTTTGTTTGTGTAAACACTTGTACCCCTTTTTCGCCCCAATTTCATGATATCTAATTGGTAGTTATGGTCTTGTCCCATCACCACAACTCCCATACGGACTCGGGAGAGCCGAAGGTCGAGAGCCATGCGTCCTCCGAAACATGACCCTGCCAAGCCGCACTGCTTGCTTAACCTGGAAACCAGCCGCACCAATGTGTCGGAGAAAACACTGTACAACTGGCGACCGAAGTCAGCTTGCAGGCACCCGGCCCGCCACAAGGAGTCGCTAGAGCGCGATGGGACAAGGACATCATGGCCGGCCAAACCCTCCCCTAACCCTGATGATGCTGTGCCAATTGTGCGCCGCCTCATTGGTCTCCCGGTCACGGCCGGCTGTGACACAGCCTGTGATCGAACCCGGGTCTGTAGTGACGCCTCAAGCACTGCGATGCAGTGCCTTAGATCGTTGCGCCATTTGGGAGGCCAGGAAGTTACATTTTAATGCCCAACAAAAAATGGATCCCTGTTAGGATTACAATAACATTTTGTCACCAATTAAATCAAAGAACTCGGAACTTCATCCTTCCAAACATTATCGCCCCATCTGTTGTCTGACTTCTCTATTCTTATCATCTTTCTTTTTCTTTTTAGACCATAGTCAGGAATCTAATGGAACCTGTGAGAATCCCAAATTCTAGAATGCAAGTAATTCTCATACTCCGAGATGGTATTCACAATTTCTCCACAGAGGTTACAGGGCCTTCCCAGCTAGAGACTGCAGGGCCCTCCCAGCCAGAGACTGCTGGGGCCTCCCAGCCAGAAACTGCTGGGCCCTCCCAGCCAGAAACTTCTGGCGCTTACCAGCCAGAGACTGCTGGGCCCTCCCAGCTAGAGACTGCAGGGCCCTCCCAGCCAGAGGCCTCCCAGCCCATCCAGCGAATCCAGAACCTCTCCTATGCCTTCGTGCCTGGGTATAAGGTGCTGAAAGCGGCACAGGTCCTAATCCAGGCACTTGTCATCTCCCATCTGGATTACTGCAACTCGCTGTTGGCTGGGCTCCCTGCCTGTGCCATTAAACCCCTGCAACTTATCCAGAACGCTGCAGCCCGTCTGGTGTTCAACCTTCCCAAGTTCTCTCACGTCACCCCGCTCCTCCGCACACTCCACTGGCTTCCGGTTGAAGCTCGCATCTACTACAAAACCATGGTGCTTGCCTATGGAGCTGTGAGGGGAACGGCACCTCCTTACCTTCAGGCTCTGATCAGACCCTACACCCAAACGAGGGCACTACGTTCATCCACCTCTGGCCTGCTAGCCCCCATACCTCTACGGAAGCGCAGTTCCCGCTCAGCCCAGTCAAAGCTATTCGCTGCTCTGGCACCCCAATGGTGGAACAAGCTCCCCCACGACGCCAGGACAGCGGAGTCACTGACCACCTTCCGGAGACACTTGAAACCCTACCTCTTTAAGGAATACCTGGAATAGTATAATAGTAATCGTTCTACCCCCCCTTTACTACCACTGTCTTTTGTCTAAACTAACACCTGACTTATTTCACCTGCTAGCACTGACTTGTTTAAAGAAATGTACTTATTGTGATCGAGATGTAGTTGTCCCTGATTGCACTGACTTTGCTCACAGCTGCTTGTTTGAAGAAGTGTACTTACTGTGATCAAGATGTGGTTGTCCCACTGGCTATCCTAAGTTGAATGCACCAATCTGTAAGTGGCTCTGGATAAGAGCGTCTGCTAAATGACTTAAATGTAAATGTAAGGTGATTGACAGGTCATCAATCAAAAGACGCCAAGATTAGTACCAAGCAGTCACCGAATCCTGAAGAGAGCCCGTGGCCTTGCCCAATCAGTGATGGAAGCGGAGAAAGACTGTGCTAATATTTATGACTTGGTAACCAATCTGAGTGGTTACAGCGGCAGTCCTACTGTCGTGCTGAGCCTGGTTGTGAAGATGTCCTTACCAGTGGTACCAGCCAATGTTGATCCAGAGGAAGACTGCACACTGGTCCTGCCCCCCAAGAAACGCTGGAGAGAGGCCCTGTCTAGCTGGTGCAGCATATTTACCTAGTTTAATAAAGCTATCTATTAAAACTCTGCTTATGACCTCTCCTCTCTTTCTCTGTCCATTCATCATGCCATAAAAATAGGCCGTTAACTCTTTCAGGAGTCGTGAAATGGTCTTAAATTCCAACGTGGCCCTTGTTCATATTTTAAACCGCTCTCTTGCACTCAATCATTTTTCTGCTGTCTTAAAATTATCCCAATCAACTAAGTGTCAATGTTTAGTGATATGATAAATTATGCTGGATCCCTGAAACGCAGAGAGCAGAAGGGCCTCACTCTTACTGTGCTTTGATGAGAATAGTAGCCTGGAGGACACAGTGTGCAGGTCTGCCCGTAATTACTTACAATCATCTCATATTAGATTTGATTAGGTAACAAAGACGTTGGTTTTGGCTGCTGTTGTTGTTCAACCAGAGCGGCTCATAAGAGATTTGATTTAGCAGCGGTGTAGTTAGATCATCTGCCAGCAGAGAGCAGTGTTAGCTGCTGAATGATGAGCGGGAGGGAAGGCCATTTGGGAGATGGAGGTGCGGGGAGCTTGAGGCGAGCGATGACAACAGAGACAAGAGCGCTTCTCTGTCCTCAACATGGCTCACTCGTTGCCCCTCCTCCCATCTTCCCAGCAGCCTGGGGAAAACAGGCCAGACATTTAGCATGACTTCACACTGTCCCACAGCCACTGAAAATACCATCGACACAAAATAGAGATTGCAAATTCACATTCGTGACAACACACAACCACACACAACCATGTACAAACTCTCACTAGATTGTTAAAAATAAACATTCAGAGAGAGAAAGAGAGAGAGAGAGAGAAAGAGAGAGAGAGAGAGAGAGGAAGAGAGAGAGCTAGGGACATGGTGGAGAGAAAGACGTAGATCCAGCAGTGCAGCGATGGTCACATTGTATTGGATAAAAGAGCTGTGTCTTAATATTTTATTAGACGCATTCTGTCTCCACTCCCCCTCATCTCTCCACTCTCTCTGCTCAACCCCAAAACAGGAACTCCAAAGGCAAAACATCTGAAAATGGATGGACATCCCAGAGTGAAGTGACCTCTCCCTCAGAGACAAGATACACCATGGCCAAAATCAAAACATGGATTCTCTAAAGGAAAAAGCAACAAGGACATGTATTCATAAAGTCACAAGTTAGAAAAAAGGTTTTTACTGAGAACATTTTGATCTCTAATTTGATACCAAAGTTATTTAAAAGACCATAGTTACCAACGTGTGTTATCAATAAATGGGAGTTGGGGATACGACTGTAGATATGAAGTTGTACATTTATCTCCCACTACTAAAGCACATTCCAGAGAAGCATGATTAGTCCTTTGGAAGTCTTGAATATTTCTGGCCTCTAACAAGACATGTCATTCCCTGGAGCAGTTTTCCA